TTTATTTTATATTATATTTAAATTATTTATTTATTTTATATTATATTTAAATTATTTATTTATTTTATATTATATTTAAATTATTTATTTATTTTATATTATATTTGAATTTTTTATTTGATATAATATCATTAACAATTGTAATGTAGTAACAGATTTGTTAAAAAAAAAAGATAATTATAAAATAATTATTTGAATATAAAAAAATATATTACGAATAATTTTGATTGGTAAAATTTGTTATTGATTTGTTTTGTCTTTATTGACTAAACGGATGAATCCGAAAAAAAATATTTTTTAAAAAAAAACGCTTTGTTTAATTAAAACCGATTCAATTATTTCGATTTATTCAATATACGGTATATACCATATATCGTTTAAACCATCCATGCTTATATAAAATTCGATTAATTATTGTATATGATTAAAAATAGTTGTAGCGGTAATGAATTTATCAATTAGATTTATAATTAGCCATATATTAAATAATTAACCATATATTAAATAATATATTTATTTAATTGATTAATTTGGCTAAATTTTTTCTATTAGCCCTAAAATTATAAGAATAAAAAATTTTTTCTGATCAGAATTTGTACTATTTTAAAAAAAAACGAAGAATAATAAATTTGTCTAGTGTATATTTGTCCATCGGAGCATATGTAAAAAAACATACAAATTGTTAATCAAAGAACCTTCCAACTGGTTCTACACCTGTCTCATATCAGGTGCATCCAATGCAATTACATCATCACACATCTTTGCTTTTCCACTACTGTATACGTCGACTTCTAATTATATCATTTCCGCTTCAGCGTTTTGTGAAGTAATATCAAGTGTTTTTTTAAATAGCAAAAAGGTTAGGAGGAATATAGCGCGTTCTCTCGGAGTTTTCTATTCTTGATTTTCTGCTTTATCGACTGCGTTTCTTCATAATACCATGCGATTTCATATCCACCTTCATTTTCAAGACATTTTTTTAACCAAACGTTTGTTCTACTTTTTTGAAATGTGTCATGACACAGATCACACCAACTACTCAATGGAATGATATAGAACGGACCAATATACGCGATTACAGATTTAGAGATGAAAGCATTTATCGATCAATGGTAATAGCGATATCGATAATAATGGTAGTGAAACTTTTTTTTCACGGATCGTGCATGAATTGGGATTGTTATGTAATGAATCGCGGATATACTGTATGTAATCATTCAATTTTGTGATTGTAAAAGAATCTTTCACACTTTCACGATGACCCCGGGACATCTCGTTTATGGGAATATTAAAATTTCAAGGTTTAAACACAAACATGGAACACACGAAAATCAAGGAATTTCACGGGCAAAGTTCGTGTGTTTTCGGATCAAACTATGTCTAGTCAAACACATCAATCGAACCCTTCATGCAACATACCGTACATCACGAAAATCACTAACCGAGAACTTGAATTGTCTTTTTTTAATTCATGCCTGAAACCTCAGAATTATTACAAACTACGGTTAAGGCAATCCGTGATTAACGCAACAATGATAAGAGACAAAGAAATTCGGAATGGATCCGATTAAGTCTTGTGGGCTTCTGGTGACATTTCCATTACGGCATTGCCGATGACCATAAATTTTTCAAGTGTTGGCATAACAAGATCATTCAACATATCTCGACAATGATTAAAAGATAGATAATGATAGATAATGGTGCACGACGAAAGCGTGACGGCGAAAAATGTCATTATACTTCAAAAATGGGCTTAATTCAAAAATTCGAGGGAACGACTTTATAATTCAGACAAATCAAACATCCATTATTACGATTCTACTTAAATGGTGAATGTAGGTTAACTAATAACACTTGGCGCGAACCAGGCTGCTTCAATGAAGAGGAAGTTGAATGAAGTTGATTAGGATGTTACAATGGAACCATATAACACTGTACCCAGGATTTTTTCATATGTAAGTACTTAAACGGGATGCATCGTGCAAGCTAAACATACTGCACATCCCATTTCTGGCAAGGGTGAATAGTAAACAAAAAAGCCTGTGTCCTTTTTTATTCAACTTCTCAAATGTACGTAAATGAATAACAATCTGATGTGTGCTGATACAGCGTGAATTAATTTTTCCACGTTATGCTCAAAAACCATTATGAGTATGCTTTTTCAAATTGAAAGTCTCTTTTAACAATGGGCAATAAAGTTTTGATCGTCCAGAATTCTGCCGCTTGTTGGTTTGCTTTGAGCTAGACGGATTTGAGTATACAATTCAATTGTCGCCTCTACGCTCTCCAATTGACGGTCAAAAAAAAGATAGAGAGAGGGAGGGAAGGAGAAAGAGAACGAGAAAAAGAGAAGGAAGAGAAAAAAGAAGTACATGACCTCAAATTTCTAATTATTCAACCAACACTCAACTCTTCCCCGCTGAAATTGGATATGACCTTTACGTTATACTAAAATTAGATGGCATAACGAGATTTTCGGTGTATCATCTCACGATCAACAATCTTTTGGGAAAATCACCGTTCTCCTTGCATTCGAGTACTTTTCTTTCTTAGCAATTATTTCGAATTATCACAATCTCACGGACGTTCGTTCGACCCGTCTAGGAATCAATGTGTTCTATTAAAAAACACCATATATAGAAAATTGGCGCGCCTTTATTGTGCAGTCAAAACCTTGAATTATTTGTTAAAGGGATTTTTTTTACCGCCCACCCGCATTAGAGTTTAATTAAATTGCAAAACCAATTGTCGCGCTCGATTGCATGTGCTAATCAATTTATGGATTTGTGCTTCCCTTATCCGAAAAACCTTATCGTAACTTTATCAAATTATCACTTTTTTGAGTGCTCAATAATCAACTGTGAACGAATCGACGGATCAAAAACGCGGTGTGATCTTTGTCTTAAATTACAATTATTAAAAAAGATGAGAGATTACAGTAAATAAAGTAAATCGCTCACAAATTAAACTGATGAAGCCAAGAAAAAATAATTAATATCGTACATTAATTGTAATATCTTGATATAGATTGTAATCGAAAGATCATGGTCAAGAATGTGGGACTTGTGATTGATCGTGGTCTTAATATCTGCGTAATTTCACTTTTGATATCATGGGAACAACGAATCTCATCACTCCACAAATATCCCATGGCATCAATAAACCTTCTGAGAAAGGACCAAACTGTTTGCGTTGCCCTGGACTATTATAGATATTGTAAGGGACGGTAGTACACTTGGATTTGCCGACTTACCACCTTAATTTCCTTTCACTTCAATATCCGTCGTTGTGTCCAGGTGTCACTCGTTCCCTCCTTCAATCGAGACCACCTGATCGGAAAATAGTTATAATTAGGTACATCGAGCATTACCGGTACACACCCGGATATAGCTAAACTTAGTTCACGTCATACAGCATCCATTCTCATCAAGCCGGTGATCTGAAACAGGAGATGGGAACCACTTGGTACTCTGGTCGGTCGTTGTCCTTATTACTCAAATGATTAAAGAGAAAATCAAGTTGTGTTGACACAAGAAGGCACGATGCTTCTATTTTTTTCTCGACTGTGTGACCTGTGGCTTGTACATGAAACAGTGGAAAAAAATCCCTCGAATCGGAGTAATTTTCCGTGATAATAAAAACATTTATTATACAATGACAAGAAATAATTTTGTAAAACATTAATTCTAGTTTCCATTTTTGCACTCAAACAATTTTGCTTTTATTGTAAATAAAATCACGACGGATGTGCATAAGTGTCGGCGTTCGTCCCAATCGAATAATCATTTTCGCAGTTTTAGGGATTGTCTTTTTGCAAGAAAGAAAGTGTGGATTCTGCAAAAAGCGTTTTGCTGAGGATGGTGGGGATGGTGACAATACATATCATAATACATATCGTACAGTATATGCTATGTTTCTACTCACAATTGCTATTATGCTATGCAAAAATAGTTTTCTCCGTAAATAATTATTAAGCAACCGTGTGTGCCGTGCCCTTTTGCGTAGCATACAAATATAACAAGAGAATTGCCGTCGAATCAGATGCCTTAGATCGTCGTTATTTCCATGCAACCATCTATTTTTAGATTTTCTTTTTTTTTTCCACAAGTAGAGTCACATGCATGTTTCTATTTTTGCCTCAACCAAAAGCTAATCGTCACCAAACCCACGTAAGAGCTAATTGAAAAAACCTGCTTTACTTGTTCCTTCATGTGAATTTCAGTGATTCGGCGAATTGTCTGCTTATTTTATTCAACTATGGATAAAGCGATTTTAGAACGTTGATGCCGTGAAGCGTCTATATGAGACAAGAGCATGATCTTTCACACACCTTTTCTCGTCGGTTTCCGCAAAAATCACATTTCACAAGAATTTTTTCCTCCTGTACACAAAAGTACCCTTTTTGGAATTCTGATAAAATCACATTATCTTGCATGCACCGCGCCACCATTTTTATAGCATAAGCCCCCGGAAATGGAAAAACGGTGGAAAAAAAAAAAAAAATCACAGTGAGACCATCTATTATTCTATGTGGTGGACGGTGTTTTTTTTATTCTTATTAAAATAAGATATCATCATTAAAAGATGACGGATAAAAATACATCTATCTCTTATACATGATTACATGATTACACGATTACATGATTACATGGATAACAGTTCAAGACCTTATTTGTTAATTGATGTTCATTTTTGGGGAACGTACAGTAAAACTTTTTCGTGATATATCCCATAATGCGGAAAGTAGGCACCTCTGTTTTATTTATGCACAGCCTGGTTGTGTTTTAATGAGCTAATAATATACTTGCTCCGTTGGTTTGGCACATGTATAAAGCGGGATGTGTATAAATTGGGTGGTAAAAAAAAAAAAAAAAAAAAAATCAAGATATAAATACACAGGGCATCTTCAGTTCTCGATTCTTCACCACGGAAAGAAAAAATATCTACTTGTTGCAAACAAACAGAACATAATCAGGAA